TTCGCTTGCCCTTCGCCTCGTGTTTGTGTCACGAGTCTGAATAAAGTTTAATGACGAAGGAGTGGAGCTGATTTCTGCCGTGTGCCAGACGAGCTCTGAAGACCCACCAAGAGGATCAATAAACCCCTCCTCCGAATACATCGCAAATGTCACCAATCATCAACACTCCTCCAAGTGAGGATCCACTGGAAGTAGCATATGAGTCATTTCAAAATAAAAGCATGAAAAACATTTTTAGAGGAAGTCTCGCATAAACTGGGTCACTTACAGCAGCCTTAACTGCAGCGTTTGGCTACGACTGCAGGGTGAATCATGTCTGGTGAGATGACAGATGGCAGAAAGCTACACTAACTACACCCAAAAGAAGTTCCTCACCAGTTTGGGAGTTTTATTTTGTTTATCTGGCTGAAATTTGCAAAACTGTGAAGCATTTCGTTCTTATTAGGTCTGAATTTTTAATGTTAAATGATAAAAAATTGAATTTGATGATGAATTTCACTGCATCTCTAGTTTAGTACAGAAACCTGCATCTGAACTCCATTTATTCTTGTTAATCTAGAGTCAAACACAACACACCTTTCCTCAGGCACTCCTATAAGAGCATGACTGACAGAGGAGAAACTGATACGGAGAGAAAATCTGGTTCTGCTTTCGCCCCTCGTCTCTCTTTTGGCCTGTGAGAGCCAATAAATCCGCTATCCAGAGCTATTAGATTGACAGAGCTGAGCGCCGTTTGATGTTCAGATGTCTGCAAACGGCCTCTGCACATTCCTGGGGCCAAATGCAGTTTGGCTGTCATCAGCAGGCCTACTTTTGGACATCGGTGGCATGCATGTCAATTATCCATGCCTTTGACAATAATGTGTCAGAGATAATGCTTATCTTTCCACCTTTTCACCTGTGCTGAAACACTGCATGGCCGCGCTATCAGACACCGTTTAGGACGGCTCAGTCTTGTGCTTAGTCAAGCAAATTGTTGGAATTGCATGTGCGAGGAAAATCCTCAGGATCAACGGTATGCAACCTCGCCTAAATACAGAAATAGAAAATCTTGAAGTGGTATCGCAACTTCTAAATACAAGCAACTCTTAGAAACGCAGTGCATCTTTGGAGGAAGCCAGCATGGCTTACAAAGAAACAAATCAGATGAAGACTAAATAATAGAGATAAATCCCTGCAAGATAAGGAATACATTATGTTAATACGTTTACAATTTAATGTTTCATTAAAGAAAACAACAACGATCAATCTGCAGTCATTGTGGGTTTAAAACTCGAGACTCTAAATGAAATATTATCGTCTTATGTCCAGAAAAAAAGAGAGAAAAGACGTTCTGTCCTCCAAAGTGGGAAGCTTAATTCTCTGCTCCCAACCTCTTGTCCAAACTGGACAGCACTCAGGATAATAAATTACCCTCTCAAGTACACCGTTGAGGTTTTAAGCGCAGGGATGAGGCCAAGGGAAAAGGGAAAATTGCGTGACCCGGCGACCTACAAACTCTTAACCCCTGGCCTGAGTCCTGGGCGCCTCCCTGAGAGCTCTCAAAAAAGCCTGAGTCAAACATCACATTTGGTCTTTGTCTCTGTGACCTTTTACACGCGCTGTCACTCCAGGTGCTCGCCGTTCCCCTTCATTTCAATGCACAGAGGGGAGGAACCGGGGGAGAGATGAGAGCTACTGAGGATGGATAGTCTTGGTGATTAAAATTAAACACACCCCCCAGGAATTTCTTGCTGATTCTCATTATTTTGAAATCTTTTTTCCCTCCTCCCTCCCTTCCTCTCGCCTTTCCTCGGCGCGCACCAAAGACAAGAGAGCCAGTGAACGAGTGAGAGACACGTTGACAAGAGAGTGCTAAGTGGATTTGAGTTATGGGCAGTTGGGCGATGTGTTTGTTTAACCATCTGGTAGCAACTCCCTCTGTTTAATGATGGAGTGCCTGTGGAAGGAAGCAGTCCAGTCCCAATATGGATGCGAACGTACACGTAGACTGTTGATTAGACGGGGTCAGGCTGCAGGAAAGAAACAGATCTGAGTGATACACTTTTGATGGGTGCACTTCCAAGAAAACCGTGTTTTTCAGTGAAGAAGAACCATTATATTGATTACTCTAAAATCAAAGTAATCCCTCAGTATCCTCTCAATCAAAGTTTGACTTCATGCGGCTGCACTGATGCATTATCAGGTTTTATTTACATTTAATTCTGACTTTTTCAACACAGCTTCTCAAATGTCAGACTGAGAGAGCAGTATTGTGTAACAACTTATGAGAAACTGGAGTGCCAAAAACTGCAGTTCCTCTAGTGACCACTTGGGGCTGCCTCCAATGGTGAGCACATCCCCATAAGGCCCCATATTAGTTTGCACATATTCATATTTAAACAAACTGTAAATTCTTAAGCAGGAGCAGATCATTATTTATCTATTTTTTTTCTCTGTAGTTCACCTCTGTAGTGTGTGCTGCCTCTGGTCTGTCAGGTGTTAGCGATGCTATTTTTAGAACTTCAACTCTTGGCTGTGTCTGTGTTGCACAGTTTTTCATGCATTCCCTAAATCCTCAGAGAATATCCAAGGCCTTTATTGTGACCAGGCTCACACACACACACACACACACGAGTAAATAGAGGCCTGCTTCGATTATTGGCCAGGACTCCTCTATATTTCTTTCATGAAGGATGACTTACCTTCACAATGATCTTGCACCAACCAGCGGCACTGAATCAAACAATCAAAAAACACCCAGTCCAGCCCAGAAGAAAAGGTGCTGCCAAAACTGCCTAAGAAGAAGAATAAAAGGTTCCCCTCAGAAACCTGTTTTTTTAGGTGGGGGCATCCCTGCCAACTGTTGTTTGTTCCCTCTTGAGCAGGAAGTACAGAGGTTTGCCATTTAGCTAAGATAAAAAAGGGACAAAATCAAAACAAACTGGTGTATGAAATACACTGGAAGACAAGAATTAAAGCTCCTGTAAGGAACTCTTGGTTCGTGTCAACTTTGGCGCCCCCTGTGGACAAGGCAGTCAATATGACCTAAAGTTCACACTGGGATATGACAAGATAACAGTCTAGGGCTTGTTTTATTATGTAAAGTATCAGGGTATCATTTGTTATTAATTGATGCTGTACAAACAAAGACTGATCGATCAATTGATTTATTGCCAAGTTACAATATATGCCTTGTTTTGTGGTTTAGTGTCTTGTCTGCTTGGCTATGATGTCTGTGCATCAACTGTTTGGGTTAATGAAGTTCTCATTTGTGTTTTACCTGCTATAACTGGGTAAAACTTTGTCTTAAACTCATCAACTATCTTAAATCTACAGTTTATCCTCTTGGGATAAATGTATGACGTTAGCTTGGAGGGTTTGCCTTTGTTGAGTCCAAAGGGCGAGTTTGAAGCATTCAAGAAGTTGTCCGCCATCGCCACAGTAAGAATCTCTTCCTCTGTGGAAAACACTGTCAAGCTGCTTAATTTGCAAACTTGTGAATGAACCTCGACATTTATCAAAGCTTCCATAACTCACTGACCTCAATCTTCCCACAACTGTCCCCCTTTTCTAAATATGGTCACTCCTGGCCTCCGACACCCGACACAGCGACGACTAAAATGAGAAACTCGATGTCTGAAAGCAGCGATCATTAAGGCGTCAGAGTGGCTCCGTCCAGTATTTACACAGTTTATGATTTAGGCTTATTTTTAAATGAAAATAAAAGACTTATTTATCACTAGAATGAGATCACCAGAGTTCCTGAAGAAAGGCGTCAACGCAGCAGGCTCGCTTTGACTGATTCTTCCTTTAAAAGACAGAGGCATATGTAGATAAATGTACGCGCACAAACACACTCTGATCTGTAAATACACCCACTCGAGGAGTATTTGCTCCAGTACTGTGTCAGATAACATGCCAGATCCCAGTTATCATTTTCAGAGGTTTCCTTTTATTGAATCTGGTGTACTCGTGCAGGCTCGGACCTCTCTCTCTCCCTCTCTCTCTCTCTGTGAGGCGTTGTTCATCTTCACCACTTACACAAGAGGTGACAGTAACCAGATTAGTCGTCTCTTATTGAAGCAGTGACACAGAGTTCTGAAGTAATTACACCGCCTTTTAATAACCGGCCCGGCAAATTCTCTTTTTAATCTCAGCGTCCTGAATTATTTAGCAGCTGTTTCCCTCCTTCTCTCTGGATCACTTCCTCTCTGAAGTGGACAGAAAGAAACCTTCTAGTGTAAGTCAAAGTGAGGTGCCATAACTTCTAATATCATGTCCACAAATACTCCAAGTAAGCACTTTGGCGTCATCAGTTCATTATTCAGCTTCATTATGGGAAGAAGACCAAGACAACTTTCTGATTTTACCCTCCTCCTGTGTTAGGGTCTGTACCGTTTTTAATTTTTAATTTTAAATGCTTAAAAGAACCACTTAAATTAGCTTTTTCTGCATCAAGACTATTTGACTTTGTCAGGAACCTCTATTTCAACAAAATAAAAAAAATAAATAAAAAGGAATTGACTAAATTATAAAATGCTCTTATCAAAATTATGGCACTTGTCGTGTTAGGGTCGCTGTGGACTCGGTTAGATCAATATCTAATAATCAGAGCAAAAACTGAAATCATGAGTGCACTGATAGTCAGATCCTTTTATAATCATGTGAGATTTAGGAAATTCTCATTTTCCATGTACTTCCTTGCACAAAAAAACAACATCAGGCATGTCCAGACATGTAAGATCAGTTCAGCGTAGATATCTGTATGAGGGGTACACTGACAAAGAAAGGCCCAGAGGCTCACTTCAAAAATATTACAAACAATATTTTCATGGATAATGAAGCCTGACAAGATAACCTAGAGATGAGAAGCAAACTGGATGATAGAGAATTGATTTTAGTGTAAGTTACAGCTGATTTAAGACACGGGTCAAAACCAACCTTTAACATGGTGGGTGCGTAGTAAAAGCTAACACAGGAGGAAGGTTTAGTTTTGCAACTTATACCTACTTGGTCAACAGTTATTGGATGAAGTTTGGTCTACACTGTAAGAAGTTTCACGACTCATTCAGCATTTATTATTTGCTCCAAAATCACTGATAGAAACTCTATTTCTCTTACAAATTATCAAATTAAATGGAAACAAGGCTTCAGACAGATTTTCCTCCAAAGTCAAATAAAGAACTGAGCCTTAGAAATTCTTCCCCCTTCACTTCCCTGCTCCACTTGTGTGACATGAAATCTAATAAAAGTGTATCATGTCCACAGAGAGAGCAGCAGAGAGTTAGTTAGTGTTGGCAATCACAGCATCGACCCTCGGTAAAGTCCAGGAGTTTGGATCGATGAAAGTCATTCTCTAACGGGGGGGAGGGATGGAAGTTGAAAATCCTGATTTCTGCTTTAGCACCTCATTCTGTTTTTCACCTCCTCCATCCTGGAGAAATGTCAAGAGAACAATAAATGTATAAAAGGTCAGCGGCGTACTAACAGACCCTTCCAAGCTTTCATTACATTTGCTGTTGGCTATAGCAGAGGCGCTCGGGCAGTGGTGCTGACATTTGGTTTGTTTTTACACCATGTTGAGTCTCACACCGCTGTAGCTCCTAATAATGTCAGAGGGAAAGATCTCGGGGCAGCTCGGTTGTGTTTATTGCTACCGTGCGAGGGACAGAAAAACGCTCTGACTCATATCACCAGGAAAAAAAAAAACACTGACGGCAAAATCAATACAGGCGGTAATGCTCTTAAAGTCAGAGGGAATTCCTTTACCGGCCGTGGAAAAGCTCTGTGGTTGCTGTTAATCCTGGTTCAGAGAACACTTGATGCTTTCTGCACATTAAACACGTTTATTTCTTTCTCTGAAGGAAACATGTAGATGCTGTTGACGACTCTTCCTTCTGTTATACTGATGTTTAAATATGTATTTACGGTCCAACTACTCAGTCTAAAAACTGTTGTTCCTCTCTATTTCTGAACTCCTTTCTTTTACTTTTTAATTGTTTCCACTAATTCCTTTGTAAGTTTAAAATGGTTTATATCGGTTATAAATTGTAAATATCGGTTTAAATATATTCAGACTCTTCTTGTTTGAAAAGAAACTCCACCTTCTGCCAGTATAGGGATTTGAAGGCAAAAAGCTCTCGGTAATTCTGCGTTTTTTCTTCATTTCCTGAAACCAACATTGCGCAGTAGCGTTGTACACATTCGGGAGAGTCGCAGAGAGTTGCTGTGATGACGCTGGGATGAAACAGAGCTGTACAGAAAAAAAGAGGACAAACCAGTCTTACAGTAACAGCATGTCAACATCGCAAGCAGCGTCCATTCTATATACAGTCTAGGTCTGTCACCAACACTGATCATGACACAACGGTCCAAAAAAGAAGCATTTGTTTCTCAGACAATAGAATTAAAATATCACTATCACACTTTAATGCTGTGTTCCAGTTGTACTTGGTAGTCAGAATGTCCGAAGTCCGAGTCGGGAATTCAACCAGTGGCTTGGGTTTATGTGTCTGAGTCAGTAAACGCCGGCGCTGTCATGAGCACTACGTACTTCTGTGTAGGAGTGTCTGTGTCACTCTGCAATACTCAACCGAAACACTGGTCAGCGGTGCGATGTCTATCCTTGTCACATTGCCGATGTCCACGCCCTTCTTCTTGGTTTACAGGAAACCATGTCAAATGAATCTGAGCAACAAAACCAAAAAAACACCATCAAAGCCATCGAACCACCAAACAGGCTTTACAGTCGGGGGGAACAATAGTTTCATTCAAACAGGACCAGTATGAAACCGAGACAGCAGCCAAACTAACCAAGGGACCATTAGATGTCAGTGGGAAACCAAACAGATCAAGGAATAACTTAATAATGCCGGACATTGACTATGTTTTGACATTTCGCACATGCGCTCCTGCATATTTTTAACGAAAGGCATAGTCATCATTGGTAAATACATTAATAATGAACAGTTAAAATAAGAGGTAAGAGACTCATACTGGTGTAGCATTGCTGCATTTATTTGAAAGTAACGTCTAAAAGCCAGTTGATAGAAAAGAGTGTTTGACATTGTTGATATATCGTTGAAAAGCAAAATAATGACATTTTAAACTTGCAAGATTAAAAGTGTTGATCCGTCGACAGCCCAGATTATTCTTATTTCTCATTCAAGATCTCACGAATGCTCTTAAACTTGGCGGTTATTTGTATTGTTTGCATCTTTAGTGGTCTACCTTTGTTAGTTTTATCAGGAATGGAGACAGAAGTTGCCTTGTTTCCATCAGGAGTAAACCCGTGTTGCACAACTTTGGCTAATCATTTCACAACTTACTGAAACCAAATGGATTGGAAATGATTTGTTGGAACATTGTTGAAGCAGGAAACGCTTATAAAAATCAGATGCATGCCTGCACATGAGGACGTCCATGTGGAGCACAGAAAAAAAAAAAGCTCCACTGTAACTTATCACTCCTGCTGTGACCATATGAACACGTCAAACCCTGCTGAGGCTGAAAACTGCACAACAGGTCGAAGGATATGTGATGTTGAAAAAGACAGTCTAAGAAGCTCTTAAGCGCTCATAAATCAGGCTTCAGATGTGTTTGCATGCGTTTCCTTCACTCAGATGCTATCTGCTTTATCATTGGTGTCCACATCATGAATCAGACTACAAAGGTTCCTCATGTTATTCACAATCTTTGCTCCCAGCTGATCACAGGACTGCATCAAACCACGCACAGGTTAATAAAGTTTGGGCCGTGGCGTGTAAATTGTCAATTTGCCGTGGCTGGGCGCTCAAGGGGGGCTGAGTGCGGGGAGAGAAAAACACAGTCGGGCGACTCAATTGACACTCCTTCCAGGTCAGAGGTTAATGAATGATTATTTCTCTCTCCCAGCAGGCGTTGCCCGCTCTCCCGTGGCCACAAGGGTGAAAGAAACTCAATTTAGGCGAGATAAATCCCAGGGAGATAATTTGCTGTGATTTAATCAGCAGTGAACTGATTGCTGTGGACAAGAAAAACATAAACGAGAAGAATTGGTTTATTGATCCTTTTAGAAAAACACAATGACTTGCAGAGGATTTAGTGGGTGTTAATCTATAGAAAGTGGTTTAATGGCCGGTGATTACGGCGCATTATTGGTGAAAAGTCCAGCCTTTGTTACTGTGAATGACTCGCATGATGCAGTACATGCAAACTGGTGGATTAGCACGACTGAGATAATCTAATTTACATTCAAATGGAGATCGGAGCCATGATGCTCTTTTACTCTCTTTAAATAAACCAGACTTGAATGTTTCCTTTTGCTTCGGTGACGCAACATCTTTGAAACACATTATTGTGTGAAACTGTCCGTGTGTGTGACCTGGACTCAAATCACTCCTCCTGACTCCTGACCCAGAACTCCGCTCACGGAAAACTGCCACGGCAAAATGAGGAGAGAGACAGAGTTCAAGATAGATTTGATTTCACTCCGGGGCCAGGTGTGGGTTTTGGACTTGCCACGAACCGTACCGGTGCTCCGGTCGTCCATCCAGCGCTGTATTATTTATACCCACCTTTGGAGGCTGCATGACCGCGTAGCTGCTAACGTCTAAATCAGAAGTGCACAGGAAGGGATGTCCCTTGCCTAAATGGCAAAATGTAGCCGACAAAGCAAACCTATCTTTAAGTCAGGCTTTGATAAGAAATCCACAGTAACAGAATTGGACTTATTTGTTAAATCCTGTATTTGAGTCCACACAGTTTGAATCCTACTTTTATAACTTAGTCCAGCTGCTTTTGCACTTGGGAAAACAAAAACCTCATGCTACCCAAACTGGAGTCACAGTGATGTCTGCAGACACATGACCATACCTGGAAGCAGTAGCTGGATGTAATCAGAGTCAGACTGCCTATCAAGTCGAATCTAAAGGAGTTTCCATTTATCTGAGTTAACACATGAGGAGTACAAACTGTTGAGCTGAGAACAAGAAGCTTTGAAGAAGCCAAAGAGACATACCTTTAGGAAAGACGCAGACATGCAATTTGTCTTTGGCGTAGGTGTGCTTGCAAAACCCAAATCTGTTCTTGGTTACGGTAAAAGTTTTTTTTTTTTCCTGCTCTTACTGATGCACTCAAATGATTCAGAACGGTAAGCACTTGTTTTTTTCTCTGATTTTGCTGCTTGTGCTGACGTAAACTAACTTTCCTGAGAAATGACTCTGCAACACCACCATCCATCTGTTTTCTGAGGGTGTGTGTGTGTGAATCTACTCTGATGTAAATACAGGATAACACTGAAACATAAGAAATGTGCAGGAGAGAGTGCATGATGAAAATGTCATGAATGCTGTTATTTTGAGATCATTTTGATTACTCGTTAATCTCGCAGCATTTGCACATTTCCGGAGTTTCAAACTAGTTGCTACAAGTCCTGTAAAGAGGAGACTATTGTTCCCAATCACTTCTTGACATTTTTCAGCATGCCTACCCTCTAAAATAGCGCCACCTACCTGTACGCTTTGCTTAGCTTAGCTTGTAAGCGGCGGCTCAAACTCAAAAGTGTTATATTTTTATTTTATGACAACAGTGTGCTGAAAGGAACAAAAAGGCTCTAGAAAAATAGAAAACTAACTTCATTTTGAACTTTAACCACATCTGTACTGGAAGACGAACCTTCATTTCTGGCTTAGTTATGTTAGCTTCCTAAATCTTGTCCCAGGTGATTAACTCTAATTTTCTTTTGAACAAATTCAACATGACTTGAGGTAGTCCCTGGTGACAGAAATTCAGTGTGGACTTAGTCGTAATATCAAATAAGTTCAGACTCCTTAACTTCCCCTTTGCTTTAATACTTGAGTTGAGCTGGATTGCTCGATGTTGATATTTATTGCCGTACTCTAAAACTGCAGTTAGCAAGCATTAACTGAATTCCATTTTTGTATGAGAGACTGTCCTGGAGTTCAGAAAGCGAATCAGTAACATACATCCTCGTAAATGTTATCAGCGTCTCACTAAATCACTGATAGTTTCTTTGATTTTGGAGAAAACTAAACCACATCTACTCTCAGACATCCCAGCCTCTCGAACTTTCTCGCAGCACCTCAAACATTTGTCCAAACTGGCGTGAGTTGGGGGGGGGGGGCTTCATTTCTCACGTTGGCGGTGGACAGTTGTCCTTTAGGTTAATGGCTCACTGAAGACCAGAATCAGACCCAGATGAAAGCGACCTAAAGGGCCCTCATTTTTCCCCATTAATCATCCTTGTTTTCTTTAAGGTGATCTTTTCACCCTGTTTTTAAGTACCTGTCTGTTTCTGGAAAGGAGCTCGTCCAGGGTCCAAGGGGCCAACTGGAGGCCTGTCCGATCCCCGTCCCCTCCTCCAAACCAGTCCCAGGAGCTCTGGATCAGGCCCCCAGGTTTAATGGCTTTTGTAATGGCAAATTATAAGCCGCTACAAGGGTAAGATTAATTGAGGGGTGGTCTCAGGCCGCTGCTCGGCTTGGGCTGCAGAGTAACCTGAGATGTTAGCGTTGCACTAAAAAATGCAGGCGTCCGTCTTGTTGACCAAAGGCATCAGAGACTCATGAACTCTTGTGACGTGACGTTTAACCGAGGCCTATATTTTGGTTGCCCGGAGGGGCCATCTGACTTTAAAGAAATCATTATCATTTGTAAAATTAACCAATTGTTTTGTCAGATTTTTCAGCACCACCATCATTCCTGCGCTAATAGATTTGCTGGGAGTCAGTGACCACTTACTTCACTCCCAGGATATGCGGTTACAACGCTCGGTTTTATAATTCAGCCCCAGGAAAGCCCAGAACCAAAGGTCCAAATCATCTCTGTTACAGTAAAGTCGTGATTTAGATTGCAATATATATGTGGGAGTAAAAGGAAAAACGACTGCAGGCTCAATTTGTCAAAATAACCACAACGGGTCCCGAGACTGTTCTCATTATTCTCAGCGGGATATGAAACACAGCTCATGCTTTGAGTAAAGCAACAAAGAGAGCGAGGCCGGAGCATTTAAGTAGATAATGATTCCCAACACTGCTCTCACAGCCGGCCATGGCTTTTGTTTTCCCTCGTTTCTTCCTCTTATGTTTCCTTCAAACAGAGATTTTAAAAAATCTACGAGAACACAAGTTATTGAGTTTATTATATTTGATGAAGCTGTAACAAGGAAAGAAAATCACATTATCTTTCACTTAATATTGGCGAGGAGACTTACCTCAACAATAACTACCACACATTGAGAACAACTTTGTGAAACAGACTGACGAATGGTGGAAAATATTGAGTATGTTATATTTATTGGACCCAACGCTGTAGGATACTAACGAAACATCATTACGTTTCCTTGTAAATATGCAGTCTGACCTACAAGTCACATCTTGGTGCATCTGCGGTACATATGAACAAAAAATAACAATAAATGAGGTGATCACGCTCCCCCAAAATGTCATTTTACCCATCTGAACGAATACAGACGAGGAAGAGTTTGCCAAAAATCGCCATGTGGAAGTGACGAGCGAAACACTCCATATTTGTGTTGACTGAAGGCCGAAACGAAGACAAAAGCTACGTTTTCGAGAAGAATTCACCTTCAATCAGGCAAACATATTCGCAATATTTTGTTTTCATTTGTGTTTTTTATTCTTTTTAATACATTTTCTGAGGATGTGAAAGATGGACCTCTGATCTATGCTGCGAGAACAGATCGTAACACACCGACCACTATAGGTTTGTCGATTACTTGGTACGTAAAGCTCACGAATTTTCCCATGCAGAACATGAAAGAAAACTCCGGCAGCTCGATGGCCTCTAAAACAGTGTGAACCTCACCTTTGCACACCTTTGCCCCAAACTCACCTCAGTCAGAGCGAGAGTGTACGAGGGGACCAACAGCTCAAACGTGTCGACAGTTATCCGCTCAAATCCATCCACGTGGATTGAATTTTCATTTCCCCGCCTCGATAAAAACGGCAATCGGAGTCTTGGCAGTGTTAGCCTCCGAACAGCATTTGACCTCTTTCAAGAATGCACTGGAACAGGAGGACAGAAAAAAGGAGAGAAAGACATGCAAACGAAATGGGAGGCCCGAGCACCCCGCTCATATCTCATCTCTATTAACGGGTTTACGGGTGACCCCAGGGATCCTCGTAAAAGTTTACGTGGAGGTTTCAGTTAGAGTTCCCTTTAAAAGAATGAAAGAAATTGGTTAGTTTATGGTTAGCCTTCAGAATTTTATGGCATGTTTTACTTAAGTTCCCATTTTTACTGATCCTGGTTCCAATTAGCGGAGTAGCAGAGCAGGAGGCTGAACCGAGCTCCTCTTTACTCTCAGGGTAAAACAACAACAGAAAAAAACATATGAAGGGCACTTAACTGACTGCTGATCTCCGAGGACACAGGCAGGTCAAGTGCAGAAGCGTGGTGATGAGGTCTGAAGATCTGGGGGTACCCAAGAGTCGCTGCTACTTCAGCGACAGTGTTTGAAGCTGGAGAGGAAACGTAGACCCGGAGAAAACCGATCCCTTTGAATAAAAACTCCCCCGTAACCTGTGGACCTGTGGACCTGTGGCCATCCCTTAAGTGAAAGTTGTTCTTTGGCAGAGCTCGCTGGAAAACACTAACGCAGACATTGTTTCAGATTGAATTGCAGCTAAATTTAGATCTTTTAGTCTGACGTATACAGAGATCTTTGTAGGAGATGCCACATCATAGCAGTCTGAATGAATGACTTTTTTAGTATTGCTCCAAACATCCGTTGGTACATGTAATCCCATTTTACAGAAGTTTCAACAGACCCTTGAATGAGTAGCCCACAATGCTGTGAAAATTGATCAACTAGCTCAAACTAGCAATGTGCACAGAATCCATCAGTTAAGCTAGTGACATTATACGTCAGCAGACATGGACAGAATACTTGACCCCAGTACTTGAGTAAGAGTACAAATACTCCTGGTTGAGTAATAAGTATTAAAGAATTCTAGTATTTGAGTAAAGTACAAATCCTCAGAATCTGTACTTAAGTACAGTACTCAAGTAAATTTACTCCGTTACTGTCCACCACTGTACGTCAGAGCAGCTACAGTCCTTGAGCCGTGATTGCAACCAACCTTTTTATGGACATACTTTTTTAGTGCCGTAAAATTCAGTTTCAAGCTGCTGGTGCACGATTTTCATGATTCCTAGAAGTAAAACCAGCATGAACCCTCACTTTATCGTGAAAATCGGGCACCAGCAGCTCTTGAGCCATGATTGCAACCATTTATCCATATACTGTTTTAGTGCCGTAAAATTCAAACATCTTTTTAACTTTACCTAATTTCTTTTGCAAAGAGACTAAAAACAACTCACCTACTCTCTTCCAGCAGCCGCTTTTTTGTAGCGAAACCTCAGGCCAGTCCATTACGGACTACAGCGGGGTGACGCAGCTCAAGGAAGAACATTTTTGATGGTTTCTTTATCATTTCCTTTAAGTACTAATCATCATTATTATCACTTTGCACTGCAGACGTGGTAGTTCTTCTGCTTTAGCGTCTCGGTCTGATTGCATTTCCATGAAGAAATGATCGTAAATATTCTTCCTTGAGCTGCGTCACCCCGCTGTAGTCCTGTAGTGGTGTTATGGTGTGTTTGACCTTAAATCAATTTTGCACCGGAATATCCCTTTAATGCTGCTGCATAACCAACAGCTTCTGCACACCACAATGTTAGATGGTTAAAATGGTTTTCAGATTAACAAAACCTTTTTACCAACTTACAGTTACTTCGAAAAACATCCTTAAAACACTTTGACTCATACACAACTTTCCGATCTGTCTTTCTTTATCTGCTGACTCTGAAACAGGGGATTGTGGGGTGCGTTTAAAGGAAAAACAGCTCGGAGAAAAAGCGAGACATGTAGATGAATGAAGGAACATGACACCAACAATAAGTCAGTAATACAGCAGAGGGCGTTTGAGGTGACGTGCCTTCAGGCAGTCATTTAGCGAGACAGAGTCACTTCCAAACCACCAACACGCCGCCGCCGCCGTCATCACCACCACTACCACCAACGTGTTTACAACTCCACAAACAAACTGTCACAGCGTGCGGCTGGACGCATAAAAAGGCTGTTAAACTGGTCCAACACACACACACACATAGATGTACTTTGACAATCTCATACCTCTTCATCTTAGATCCTCATCTCCTCTGAAAATAAACCCGTAATATTTCCACTCTCTGATTAATAAGCTTTATCGTATCCACACTTTGGTTTTTTGGCTAACAGTTTTATTCCACTCTTCATAAATGCTCCTTTTAGTCTCTCTGTCTCCACTTCCTTTTTCCTGACCCCTCTCTTTAAATGAGAGAGAAGAAGAAACTCGAGTGACCTAAACTTTTCCTCTTCATTCATTCTCTTCTGTTCACAGAAATTATCATGCAAAAAGCATAGTAAGCGACACCGGCCAAGCTCAGGTTATTTATAGTCTGATGCTGCAGTTGGGCTCAGTGGATGCTCGTTCTTTGAGATAATGAGATCACCAACTAGCAGCGGCTCAGATTTTTACAAGGCAGCTGTTTGGTTGCTTTTAAGAGTCTCCTTTCGTTGGTGGTATTACTGTGAAATGTTTTGGAGAAGCAGAAGAGCCGTTGTAAAAGCCTGCGCTGGGGAGATGAAAACAAGATGATTTAGTTATTTGTGTTTTCTCCAGCATAGAGCTCAGCTGGAGACACAACAGGGGAATCATAACTTTAGAGGAGGTTAATTTCAGCCATTTTTCATCTCTCGTACCGAGCGCTTTCATGCGCTAACCTACAGTATATCTGGATTTCACTTCCAATCTTCCCCTTTCTTTTTTAACATACAAATCTATATAAACACGTATGTAGTTTAAATGCAGATAAAAGACGCCTGAAGACACAGGCCGACAGGATTAGATCTGTCAGTGAAATGAAGAGGCGAGGAGACGAACTTTTATTTGAATCACAGTAAATTCCTCTCCTGATCCTACACACACACACACACACACACACACACACACACACACACACACACTAACTGGATAGATCACATTTTTTAATACAAGCAACTGCAGAGAGTTATCATGAAAGAGTTCGGATTTTATATTTTTATTTCTAAATGTATTTTATTTTATAAGAATAAAGTTTAAAGCCAAGGCTTTAGGGCCACACAAAGGATGGAAAAGTTGCTTTTTGACAAATTAAAAGTCATAACTGTACCCATATTTACGAGACGGAAGTCATAAATCAAAAAAAACATAATTAAAGAGAATCAAGTGGTAAAATAGTAACATTAGAAGAATAAAAAAAAATTTTTCAAGAGTAATTTGACACGAGAAAAGAAACTTAAATTTAAAAGAAAAAACTCAAAATTAAAGAGTTGTTATAAGTCAAACTTAAAAAAGAAAGTTAATAGTTTACATCAATAAACTTGAAAAGAAACAGAAAAGAGTTGTAAATCTATTAAAAAAATTTAAAAAAAAGCTCATTCACAAGAAAATCTGTAAATCTGCAAAAATGAATTTTCACAATGGATGATGACGATTGACTGGTAAATAAACCAAAACGAAAAGTTGCAAATTTAAGGGAAAGTATGAATAAACACAAGTTAAAGACAATTAAATTGTATTTCTACCAGAAAAAAAGTTTTAATTACTGGAATAAAGTTATTTTTAACACGTGTTGTACAATTATGAGAGAAAACGATTAAAACTGCAAATGTGAAACAAGAAGGTCAAAAATTGACAAAATAAACTTGATAATTTATGACGGTTAACTGGTAATTAAAGCAAAACCACCAAGAAAGCTGTAAATTCAAGAGCAAAAACATGAAATTACAAGGATGAACATTTTAATTAAAAGGAATAAAGTTTGTGAGAATAAAAGTAAATTATAAGAAAGAAGAAGTAATGAGAGGCTTCGGCTGTGTGGGTCATTGTGGAGTTGGAAAGTGTTTTCACAAGAGTACACAGGCATGCATGGATGGTCATAACGGACTCTCAGTATCACTGTTTCCGAGCATGAAAGTGAAAATATTGCACATTTGTATTTTAATTTTGCTGAATTTTGCTCAAAAACACACGGAGAAATACGACCAATTACACGTTCAAGTTGAAAAATTTCCTTTGGAGAGCGTGGAAACGTGCACACTCTCTGTAGCAACAAATAAAAAACGTCCCTGATAAAAAAGCATGCTCTCTTACACACACAAAAACACACATCCTGCAGATCTCCTGTGTGCCTCTGCGCCATGCTTAAGGAAGGAACTATATCCATAACACAGTGGTTGTTTCCTGCTTACAGGAGCTTTAATAGGCGGGCGGGTGGCTGACTCACCAGGAAGGCTGCGGATGTCTACACTCCGACATGACACTTACAATAAGCACTTAGTCTGTTTGAAGGTTAAGAGGCAGAGCTCACTGTATTTACATTTGGTTTTTAAAAGGCTGAAAAATAGGATCAGACAGATTACCGTGTTTTATTGTCAACATGTGTATTCGCTTCTCTGGAAACCCGTATTTTAGGATGTGAGCCAGAAACTGCAGCTCAGGGAGTAAAAGTTAAGCATGGAAACAATTCCCGTTTAAAAGAAGATAAAAGAGTTAACAAAGAGTTTGTTACTGAGGGTTATTCTGCACAGAGACACAAACGATACAGCTGCTTTGTAGAGAAGAGCAGAACGTATTATTTGATTATATGATTGCAAAACTAAGCAGGTGGAAAACGCTCATCAAAATAAGTGTGGTACACCAAGTTTGGAAATTAAAATGAGCTGAAAATTTAGTGCAAGTTGCAAGTTTTATGATGTAAAAGTCGTGTTCCTGTATAAGTGACCCTGGCTGACACACTTCAGCCTGGCGTCTAGGTTTAAGGAGACGCCTGCAGCCTTGTCTGCTCAAACCCAGATGGGAGGCAACAGCTCTGTGCAGCCCGGCCTCAGCAGTTATCACTAAATCCAAACTGGAACCCGAATAGAGATCCATAGAAGTGGGCCCTCTCCCCCTCTCTCTCTCAAGTGTCCTCCACAGAAAGCCTGCTGACTCAAACTGCTGCTCAATCACCTGGTTTTTAGAGATTTGCAAAAATGATGCTTTATGATTGTAATAGATTTGCTCCGTATATAAATCTGTCATGTCCAGACTTTGCAGAGATTCCTACGTAATCCTCATATGCAGTCTTTGTACCGACCTCAGCTGAGCTCAGAGTCTTAGCTGTATTTTTCTTCCTCTGATATCTTATCCTGAAAACTGGTGCAGCTGCAGAATCCAAATTCCAAGGGTTTTATTGATTAAAAGAAAAATGGACATTTATCCATGTAGTGTTATTCTTGTTGGTGAATCTATCTTTAGGATTCACAAGACAGTCAAGCTTAATATGTAATACAAGACATTTTTAGGCAGTTTTGTGTTTCTGAGACGTTGGGTTGTCTTATGTGGGCTGTCGTGGTGCTCCGTGTTTTAATTTGACCGTGGTTAAAAGTAAACTTTGATCTCCTGAGGAGAGTTTTTGATGTAAGAAACGGACTAAAACTGATAGGGGTGGCCTCTTTAAAGGTCATTACCCCTCTGAGCGTTTTTGAAGTGCGATTATTTCAAACGTCAATATATTCTTCGAACCCGTATCCTGTTAATACAAGCGGTCACATCAGCGACGTTTTCCCGTCCTGCGATATTGCGGCATTTATTTTTTCGGATCACGGTTGACTTTTCTAAAGTTTTGCATACTGTGGGTCCACTTCTGACCAACCAGATTTCGTGTTGTTGCGACGTCAGATTCACCGGTATATCCAACATGGCTGACCGGCTGATTGTGTACATGTTGGAGAACAGAGTGATTTTTGATAAAAGACACAAATATTACAAAGATAACAACCTGAAGGACGACTTGTGGAGAGTCATAGCATCGGATTCAGATTCCTCTGAAATAATCAGAGAAGTGTTTTCCTGAATGTTGTAGGTCATGAGCAAACTTTGCAACATTCACGTCTGGCTGTTTCCTCTGTGCATGGCTAGATGTGATGTTTGGCGATAGTGAACTAAGAGCCTAATCAAAAATGTTCCGACATATTTAAATTCAGACTTCTATGTGGAAAAGCAAACTGGCTCGTCTGTCATGATATGTTCTGTTTATTTAGTTTTCTCCTGTTTTATTTGAGCACATTTTGTGTTTTTTCTCTCCTGTCTTGTCAGTTTTCAGTTTGTGTTTGACCCTGTTTCCCTCCTGTTCTCTGGGTTTTATTCTTTAGATCAGTTTTTATTTCCTGTTTTATTTTGTAGTAGCTGATTCCTTGTGTTTCTAGTCTGGTTTTACCCTAGTTTTCCCTCCTTTTGTTAATCACCCATGAGTTTCACCTGTGTCTCGTCTGCCTCACCTGTTGCTCGTTTCCCAGTGTGTATATAGTCTCTGTCTTTGTTGGTTCATTGTGTGTGCGTGTCTGCACTCTCCTGTTGGTTTTTTGTTGGATTTTTTCACCGTGTGTTTTTTGAAGTAAGTTTTTGTTGCTTTTCATTTAGTTCTTTTTAATAAATCTTTCTTTTTTGGGTCCTTTTCCTCTGTTTAACCCTGGCACCATGACATCTTCGACAGTTCACATCTGAACCATCAATGTCCAGGCCACGCAGATGAAAACAGGGTATGTGAGGATCTGTTTCTTCATGCTTGCTCTTTATCTGCTACATCTAAGTCATTCAACTTTTACTTGATATGTTGACAACACATTAAAGACAGTGTCTGCCATCTATTGTGTTTTTTCTCTGCTCTGTCACAGTCAATTAGTGATTTCCTGTGATTTAACAGACTGAAGAATGTGATTATTGTGAAATGTGAGCATGGCAACAAGCTGTGTGAGTCTAAAAGAGACGACACACAAACAGAGTACAACCAAACTGAAAACTATAATAAAATAAAACATCTTGTTCTGATTTTAAGCACCATAGAAAGGCTTTTATTTTTTAGCATTTTATTGCTGTTGTTGTTGGGCTATATTTGTACCAGGAAAGAGTGAGGGTGAGGAGTGTGCTCACAGCTGTGGGGGAGATTATAGAGAAAGGAGAAACAGTCACAGTGGGAGGAGGATGACATGAGGCACATAAAGAGACAGAGGTCGAGAGATAGCGAGAAAAAGAAAAAAATAAATCAAGGAGTAAAACAGCAGAGAGGAGGGAAGCGAGGCCTGGCTTTATTATATCCTAATATGCCTTCCATCCTCAGCCAGCGAGCAGAAGAGTGCCGAGACATAATTATATCCCCTCCCCGGGCCGTCTCCCT